CCTTTACCCTTTACCTTTCCTTTACCTTTCCTTTCCTTTTCCTTTCCTTCCTCTACTACGCGTACGTAGTAGAAGAAGGAGGACGGACGTCGTCTCTCTCTCTCTCTCTCTCTCTCTCTCTCTCTCTCTCTCTCTCTCTCTCTCTCTCTCTTTCTTGCATCCCAATTGGTTAATCCTCAACCACAATTCAAACTCTCTCTTAGCATCCCAATTGCTGAATCCTCAACCACAATTCAAGCTCTCTCTAGCTTCCCAATTGGTTACTCCTCAACCACAATTCTAGAGGACCATAAAATATGAATCTATGTACCATACTGTAGATGTGGTACATTCAATCTTAACCACAGTCAGAAAAATGAAACAATAAGTAAACATACATTGAATATTCTAACGATCCCTTTGACGAGGGATGGTAAAGATGCTATTTACCTAAATGTGGAGTATAGCATCATGGCATCCAATGGATGTGTATTGGATGCCAAGCAACTATGATTGGACAATATATAATTGTTTTTTTTTTTTTCTGAGAAATAATAAATTGTTCCACCTTAAATCAGCGCATGCAAGTGAACCCCAATTCACAGTATCGGACATTGGTGGTGTAGGGAGGCAGGTGCCTCAACATAAACCATACTCAAAAGTCTACGAATATTCTCTTCAGACACAGTGCGGAGATGTGACACACCACCAGATTTCACATGTAAAAGCCAAGGGTACTGGTGACGTTTGTTTAGACAAGGGGACACATACAAAGTAAACACATACAACCACCTAATTCCACATTTGATGTCTAAAAAGTGTAATTGATTGACAAAAGGATAAAAGCCATATGGTATACAATCCCCAAATAGTATTGGACAAAGAGCAAACGATCACACTTCGAAAGAGATATAGAAAGAGCTAAGCCATAGGTATAGGTTTGGGGGCAAAAATGTGCTTGAAATGTGAGATAAGAAATTTATAATATAATTATAAGGGAGAATAACCAGGATAAATGTAATTGCTAGTGAGAGATACTTTGGGGATAGATAACCCAATAAATTGGTTCTATGGGGATCTAACCACGATAAATGTAAATGGTGAATGAGAATTTCAGGGCACTGAATGAAACTCGCTCCGGCTACTCAAAACTTCAGAGGCTGTCGAGCCCAGAATCAAACCCATGGGAACTCGTCAGGGCTGCCAACCTCCCAAATTTCTTTAATATTATTTTAATTATTATTCACACCCAACCAATTCCCTAGCAAAGTCAGTCAAGTCCATCAGACCTGAATCGGGCTTGGGCTTGGGCTCGGGCAGGTCCTGACCAGGGTCCTTGTTTTTAACATTGGTAAATAAGTTAGAATCCCTTTACTAGACGAAGTATTTGGTAATTTTACTACTTTTAGATCACTGCTGGTTAAATGAACAATCTTCCTGAAAAGGTCACATACACACCAGGTAAGGAAACGAGCTTTCAGGGTATGAATGACAGATTCTACTTCGCTTTTCTCGCGCCTGGAAAAAATCTGTGATCACTCGGACGTTGGAAGTGCACCGTTAGAATAATGTCTACAAGATCTACTACTTTTTAGGGCTTAAATTTTTCTTTTTCCAGATCCATTATTGTCAACTTCGAGATGATCAGTCAGACGCTTGTCTGAACCCAAAACAGCAGTTTCAGGAGAGATTTGAGCCATGGCCCTATGTTAACCTTTCGCAATAACAATTATTATTATTTTTGGTATGAATATAATAACACGAATTGATGATAATATGCTGCTTAAAAAATTCTAAATTAAGAATTATTCACATCTGCCAAATATTTATCCTTTCATTTCTAATGATTTTGTAGCTAATATTTGAGAGCAACAGTTTATTGTTCTTTGAGATCAACAGTTTATTGTTCTAGAGGAAGTATATGAACATAACTCTTTCAGATTAACTGATGTATTTTAGTAAATAAACTCATGGCCACTATTTATAGCAAAAAAGAAAGACTCGGATTACAAATTAAAAATTCCACAAGGTAATAGGTTTTTAATCCCACAATAGAAACAAAATCTAATTGACAAAACAAAATTGGGAATTACACGAGCATTGTCTCACCCTTGTCCATGGAAGCCTCAAAAATGAAATTAGTTCACTCTTCGTCTGAGTAATTGAACTTGATGGAATGAGACTGCAAATCAATCTGTCCTCCTCTGTAACTCCCTCGCTTCTTCTTAGTTTTCTCATGTCTAAAATCCCTAGAGAAAAAGAAGCAGCTTCTTACAAAAAATAGCAAACATATTAAGATGAATAAAACATGGACGACTTGCATGTGACATGATTTTCTATTAATGAGTTATAAACAGATATTTCCACTAATATATTTCAAGTTTAAATAAAGATTGTATACAATGAGACCATTTACCTTTGAGACAACGTAGTCACAATTACTTACAACCATCCGATGTGAAATTTGATAGATTGGATGTGTCACAAAGTTCGAAAAAAAAATAATTAAAAGTTTGACCTTGGTCAATCAAATAATTGTAGCCGCCCAATTTCACATCCAATAGTCAAGATTAATATGACCACCTTGTACCAAAGGTAAATGGTCTCATTATATACTTTCCCTTAAATAATTTCTGAGTACTAATAAATTGAACATTTCCACCGACACAAGTCATAAATGAATTCTGAGACATACTTTCCTTTAACTTGCCCGAGAATCTCTTGTGCCTTCGCACCATAGCCACTGTCAGCACCATCCTGCAAATCAAATTAGGCAAAACAAGGGGGGAGAGAAAATTTTAAGTACATTGAGTAATGAAAAATAAAACCATAGAAATTCAGCGAAGGGAAAGTTCACCTTTCCCCAGTAAGAATTATCCTGCAGCCTGTCATCCACAAACTTTACCTCTTCCACTTTTACTCTCTGAAATGCCTTAAATGTTTTTGGCTGCATAAAGAAGGGATTCAATATAAAAAAACAGTGAGAGAGAGAGAGAAGGTTTACTAAAGAAAAAGAAAATGAGAGATAGATAGAGAGAGATATCCAAAAAGTATAACTGTTTCTCTCTCTGGTAATACAACAGTTTCTCAATTTACTACAATGAGGAAATACATATTATCAAACCCAAAACTGATGCACAACACAAAAACACCATCTGTGTATCTAAATGGGAATCAAGATTCTCAGTGTGTGTATGTGCATATCATCAGAGTGAGAAGCAACAACAAGTAGAGAGAAGACACCAAGATCTTGTTTTTCTTTTTTAAAATTCTGTGCAGTTTCGTTTTGAATGTTACAAAAAGCAAATGATCCACCAAGCCTCAGGTGAGAACATAATAGCCACTAAACAGGCAAGTGGACAGAACTGAACCCCTATTTGAAGCAGGGGAATTTGAAGACATTAATAGGCCACACTTCAAATTTCACCTAACATAGGACATCATTTAGCCAATTAATAGCATCAACACTTGAACTCTAATAACCAAATTGAACCCATTATTACCATAGCACCAGATACATTGGCAATGCAAGAAAGCATTTAATGATGCACAAAACTCTCGAACCAAGGGCCAGGAAATGACCATAACATACTCTCTATTAAGTAGTAAAAGCATGTCCCCAGCACAAGCATACTTCTGCGCACGAATTAAAGAAACTAACCTACCATAGGAGAATCTCCTCACACCACACCTTTCATAAAGTCTACATGAACAGGTACCTCAAAATCCAAACTTAATGAACTGTAATTGACAACATGTAAATTAGAAGACGATCACTATGAAGGACATGAAGCCCAAAAAGATAGTGTCGCCTACGAACTGATAAGGTAATGAATTTACATTCCAATGAAAGCTTGAAGAGCAAAAAGGGCAAGTGGGATGGATAGGTAATCAAAGAATTTAGAGCCACAAAATTTTAGAAGCTGGGGAGACGGCTTCTACGGATGCTAAATGATGCAACCTCCTAAACAAGATCAAAGATTATGTGAGATTGCTAATGTCACCTACCATTGAGGTCGCCTCTTTTAACATTGTACGCTAAAAGTGGTCATATATCACTCCTGTTTGACTATATCGTGCACAAAATTTGGATTTCGGTTGAAGTACTTGTCCATTGCTGACTACTCCTATAATCATTACTAGTAGATTGCAAGCACCCAAACCACCTTCCCTCCATGGGTTCAAGAGAAAAGCCTAGAACCACCGTAACTTAAATATGTAATTACATGAGAAAAACTACAGAACATAGAAATATTTGTACCTCAGCTGAACCATTGGATTCTTTCTTTGATTTTAATGCAGAATGCCCTTCATTTTCCTTCTTCATAATGCTTCCATTGTCATTCCCATCAACATTTGCTTTCCCATCACCTTTGGCAGGCAAGCTCTCCAGATCCTTGGCTTTTGGCCGTTCTTTGTAAGTCTTGACAACCTTCTCTGCCTTCTTCTTCTTAGCTTGCGCAGGTTCATCTTCCTTATCAATGCTTTCCTCAAGGCCACCTTTTCCTTTCTGTTTCCTATCTTGAGTTTCAGTGACATTTTCAACCAGAGAAGCAGCCTCTTCAGTATCTTTCCTTTTTCTCTTCTTAGAATCCTTTTTTCCTGCACGATCTATATCCTTAGAATCATGAATATTCTCATCATGAGTCAGTTTTTCTTCCTTCTGATGTTTTCTGCTAGAATTATCTGCAGTTACGAGCAAATTATCTGAGGATTTCTTATTATACTTAATTTTCATGGACTTGGATTTATTCAAATCATAAGCAGTTTCTGAATCCTCGGACATCCCTTTATCTTCCTCTTCAAATGATTCTGGATCATCAGGTTGACCACTACCATCAGGAAGATCTCCAGAAAGTGAATCATCTTTCTTCTTCTTCTTCTTCTTGTCTTTGGGTTTTGCATCCTTCTCAAATGGAGTACCATCATCAGTTTTATCAAGCTTCACCAAATCCTTATTTTTCTTTTTCTTCTTCCCTGTAGTGTTTACATGTGAGTTATCTGAAATTATCTCCTTACATTTGTCCTCAGCATCAGACTTTGATTTTTTCCTTTTTAAATCTCCAACAGCATCCAAATCCTTGGGGTCCTCCTTGTGTACCTCTCCAGATTCAGAAAGAGTTTTGCTTTTCTTTTTCTTCTTATCTTTAGATTTCTTGGGTGATCCATCCAACGATATGTTTTGACCATTAACAGTAGCCAAATCAGAGTCATCATTTTTTACCCTAAGGTTGTTATCTGGGGCTGACCTAAGGTTGTTATCTGGGGCTGACTCCAAGACTGATTGATTCCCTTTGTTTTCTGTTCTCTTCTTACTATGTGAAACTTTGTCAATGGCATCCATATTGTTTTCATCCTTGAGTTTCTTGGTAGCTACTCCCCTTCCTGAATCTGCAATTGCTGCTGTTTTGGAATTGAAGCCAACCTTGAGAATTTTACATGCAATATTAGGTAATTAAATGTTTCAAAAGCAAAATCATAAAAGAACATCCATTTTCTTCAACATTAGTTTAATTTAAATAACATGTTTTAAAGAAGTAATGTGCTTTAACAGCACTTTGTTCCATATAGATAGAACATTCTAGCTTCTCATCAAATTGTTATTTATATAGATAGGGTCTACTACAGTCCTACAAAAGGAGCGAACCGACGGGGCCGTTTTTCAAAAGAAGTAAAGTGTGTCAACAGCAATTTGTTCCATATATGCAGAACATTCTAGCTGTTAATCAGATTTTTATTTTTATTGCTAGGATCTACTACAGTATTACTGTAACCTTGACTATTTGATCTTAGTTTTAAAATTTTAAAAACAAAGAAAATTTGTCCAAACTTACCTGAATTGGTCAGATCCAATTCAAGATTTTCACTGCACAATAGCCCCAATAACAAGTCAGTGTAAAACCCAGAATTGTAAAGGAAAAGAAAAGAAAATAAGAGCAAGTATCAAATAGATGGTAGATACATGACAGAAATCTCTGAAGAAGGTAAAATAAGATGTCTAACACCACTTACCAACTTCAAAATGGATAGAGAGAAATAGAATTAAATGAATACACAACAATACAAACTTCAATGTTGATACAATTGTGAAGGGATCTACATAAAATGTAAACAAAAAATTGTTCTTGAGTTATAAAGAAGTTGCATTACTATGATATGTTTCACAGTGATGGTTAAGCAAGTGCTTTCACTGGGTCACACATAAATGCAGGATTCGTGACGATTTTATGGCTATACCTCTGACACAGCTTTAACTATCATATTGAAGAAAAACTCACTGGCAGTGAGGCACACCATCTAAATGATGGTTTCTCAAAAAAGAAAGAGGCCACAAATTGTTAAAGTTCCTTAAACATGCAATGCACAAGACTCTATCCAGTGTTGGGAAACTTGGGCAACTCCACTAGGATTCACCCTAGTCACTCAGGCTAGGCAAACTGCCAAGCCTGGAGCAATACACACTCGAACTGGCTAGTTCCCATTATTTTATTATTTATTTTGCTGGATTAGACCAAGTCTTTGGCCAAGTCCATCAGGACTAACTCAAGCCCAGGACCCTAGCAAGTCCCGACCAGGGTACCAACGGGTTGGGTCCAGCCGGACCCAGGACCAAGCCCGAAAATATGCTGTGGGACCCAAACCCTACCCAAAAATCAAAATATCTATATATTTAAATACATTTCATAAATATGTTAAATACATATGCATTATTTCAACATCATAATTATAAATATATCTATATATTTATAATTATAATATTTAAATATGACATATTAAATATTTCTTAAATATCGTAATTATTCAGGTTGAGTACATGTCGGTCTACATGGACCCGGATACGAACACTATTTTGGACCCAAACCCGACCAGCTGGGTCCAAATTTTGGACCCATACCCGGACCTGGGTCGGGTCTATCCATCAGGTCTCGAAACGGAACCGGTTCCACTGCCACCCCTAGTCATGTTTTCTTATATGAACAATATCTTTTTGCTTGATTTTCCTTTTCTTTTTCCCCTTATTTTCCGATTTGCTATCCTATCATTCTTTGCTTTTTTGAGTTTTTCTTCCTTTTTTTTTCTTTGTTGCCTATTCCTAAGTTCCCTTTTGCTCCCCCCCAAAAAACATATAAAAAAAAGAAAAAGGAGGGGATTATTTTTGGAGAAATTGCAAGAGGGGTACTATTTTGGAAAAGTACACATAATTATTAATTAATATCATCGTCTTAATTTTTAGTGGGCATATTAGTAAAGTATTAGCTATCTTTTATTGAGCAAAGAGAAGTATAATAAAAATTATTTTAAATGGGCTAGTCATATCTCAAATTCCTACTTGCACTTATGAGGGGATAACAACTGCCTTTAAGAAAGTAATTATCTTGCGTCAACTTCATTTAAATAATTATTTTTCAGTATTTTAATACTTGATTTCTTGAAAATAATTAAATTGGTTGATTTAATACATTTTGAACTCTTAATCTCCAATAACACTAACTGAACTCTAAATTTTTATAGGGAAAATGACATACCCCCTTTCTAGTATTAATAATCCCAAATGGACCCTTGGGTCCACAAAGATCGCACGGACCTACTCCAACTTTTAACCATGGACATAAACCCCTCCTCTTAACTCATTCTCACTCCAAGTTACATATTTGACGCCTATCTTTTGACCAATACCACTATAATCTAATAGAGAAGCCAGCGCAATATGTCCTCCAGTAAGTATTGGGAAAGTAGTCATGCCGAAAAAGGGAAGATTACCGGTGAAGCCTAGTGATTTCCGGCCACCGCAAAACTCAAAAAGCGACTCTAGCAGTTTTGGCCCTTTAAGAATGGATACTCTTTTTTTGGGAGTTTTTAGCCTTTTTTTTAAGTTTTGGGAGCCTAAATTTTTTTCAGTATCTTGGATTGGTACAAACTTAAATCTCAGAAAATCACATCAAATTTTAGTGGGTTTTGGCCCATTTCAGTTCTAGATTCTCTATCACTTTTCCTCCTCCTTTTTTCTTTTAATAAACAATACTGAATTTTGGGATTTATTTGATTCTCTGTTTCTTTGTTTCTTTTTTTTTTTTTCAAAATTTGTCACCTAAAACACGGTAACAAGACTCATCCAGAGAATGAAACGGAAACTTATATAGTTCTAACATCCAATCCTCTCATGCTGAGGCTTCACTTCCATGGCTACCTAAAAATCACACTTTGAATGCCACAAAATACTTGTTTTTGCTTCACAAAATATTCTTTTACATACAAACAACTATATAAGGATGAGCCAATCAACCATTACGACCATTTGCGAACCTATTGTAATAACCATTTGCACGTTTATTCGGTATTTCCATGAGATTCTCAACTACTTGCTTCAATTATTGACAATTTCTAGCTAATTCAAAACATGGTTATCGATCTCTCCAATAACACATCCAAACCATGCATCAACAGATTACCAAGCTCTGTGCTCACACCATGGAGGCCCTGTGATTCAGCCGCTCCATTCTTGCCTCCAAAGCTTGAACTTTCCTAAACCCAAGCAAAAGTAATTTTAGGGAAAATAGGAGAGAGAGAGAGAGAGAGAGAGAAGAGGTTATATCACAAGAACCTTTTTTATTCGGACAATGGGTATTCATAAAAAAGAAACCGGGCATATTTGTCATTAAGATGGAAAGATAGGCCAACAGGGCACTCGATATCCAATACTTAAAAGTTAGAGGGGGTCCACAGGATATTTGTAGACCCAGGTGTTTATTTGGAATCACTATTATGCAGAGGGGGGTAAAGGTCTTTTACCCATTTTTATAATGTGTGAATGAACTGAAATAATGGAAAAAAGTCACTACCATTAACATGATGAGAAAAGGCAACCTAGATGTCTACCTCCAGGAATGCTGTAGATTATAATTTTCTAATAATCCATATATGAATGACATCATCATTACCTGAAAGTTTGATCACAGTTTGGAGAAATCAGGCCCGACCAACTGGCGATTCCATCGAACAAGAGGCATGTGGTGAGCAAACTATCTTGGAGAGTATCACCCCAAATGAAGAAGAAGTTTTCAAGGCAATCAGCCCCTAAGCCTCCAGTATCCTTTCGCTCCCCAATAACGAGCAACTAGACCCTTCATGGGAAGAAGAATCTCCAAGCATAAATATTGCCAAAGCCATGGTGATTTGAAGAAACGTCAAAATCCTATGGAGACAAGATGGTGCAACAAAAGGCCCCATCGAGGCAATTGCAAGCCAAGATGAGGTGGAATGATGAAATGATGAAAACCGTGCGCCAAGAGATGGTGGTGTCCCATGAGGTCGAGAATGCTCACGTAGCGCACCAAACTCCCTCTATCAGCTTCCCACCACCATGGGAAGCCATCGGAGAAGAACCACCAAAGGAATCGCTACCCCCAACTACACCTCCCTCATTGCTGGTCTCTTCTCCATCGGCCCAGGTTGTGGATGAGGAACTAGTGAATGGCATGGTAGTTGAAGCATTGAAAAGATACAATATTCCAGCAGTAGAAGGTTGAATTGCTATCGAAAACCTTATCCAGCTCATGTTGACCAAACTCCATTCCCACAAAACTACCAAAGGTTCGATTTTCCCAAATACGATGGCACTCGTCACAGCAACACATAGCTCACTTTGTTTCTGCTTGTGGAAATACTGTAAACAATGAGCATCTCTTGCTCCGACAATTTGTGGGGACTCTTACATGAGCCGCATTCAAGTGGTACTCACCATAGGTTCTATGTCATCATGGGAAAGCTTCTATGATATAGAAAGGAACGTGCAGCTTCAGGAACTTCTTGATGTAAGGCAAAGGCCACATGAGCCAGTGATCAAGTACATCAAAAGGTGGTGCAACCTGGCTATAAATTTGGCCACTCTAGTAAGCGAGCTTCAAGAAATGGACAATGCATGTCAGCACAGCAGGTCCCTCCACATTCGCCAAAATGATTGACAAAGTTGTGCGAATGGAGAACTTGCTCAAACACTATGGAAAAATATCAAAACCCTTCACAGTGGTGGAGGATGATGGTCAATTAGTAGTCACCATGCCAGACACTATGCATTCCTCGTGTCAGAACTAGCACAAGAGTTATTCCTTTGACGAAGGCATGGTCCCCGAGTTGCTTGAAGCCCTCAAATGATCGAGCTACCGAGGTCAAAGAGGCTCGAGGAAGATGGAAGGAATGACAACCATGAGTACTGCCAATATCATCATAGAATGCTTGGTCATATGACCGAAGATTGTCGCGCTAGTTGAACTTGGGGCCCAATTCCATGCAAGATGCATCATGAGCCCACGCAATGGTCCAAGCCGCACGACCTTAAACTTGCATGGCACCGGTCCAGGCTACATGACCATAACCTAATAGCACACGTCCTAGGCGCAGGACCTTAAACTGCATCGCACAACGGCCCAAGCCGCACGACCTTAAACCTGCGTGGCACCGGTCCAAGCTATATGACCCTAAACTAATAGCACACGTCCTAGTGGCATGACGTTAAACTGCATAATACACGGTCTCAAAGGCAGGACTTTAAAATTGCCTCTGTTAGGCCTTGGTGGATGACCTTAAAATACACCAATTCGACAGTCACAACAGCATGACCTTAAACATGCCTCCCCGCGGTCACAGCGGCATGACCTTAAAATTGCCTCCTTAAAAAGATGGACATGATGAAACCCCGCGAGGACGTCATGGGTAAAAGAATCAAAAGAAAAGAAAAGAAAAAGAGAAGAAATGACGGACATGGTGTGCACCCCAAAAGCCACCATGAGCAAAATATGTTCAAAAAAGGAAAAGGAAAGACAACCATACTGAAAACACACAATGGCACTAAGGGAAAAAGTGTCAAAA